TTAGAAAACGCTGGAGAGCTACGCATCATTGCATTAGAGAGAGAAAAAGGTCCCCATACAACTCCCTTCTCTCATACAGAGACCAAATATGAGAGATAGTTAAACATAACAAAAACTAGCCTATGAAACAGAAAAGTACATGACCAAAACTTGACCTAGCTATTTAAATTACACCAGTTAGGCCTAGGCCTTGCAGCTTCTTAGCGTCGGCCAGATACCAAAGGCTGTGTTCGTCTTTGAGGTCTCTCATAATGGAATCGACTGAGGGAGCCATCCCCTCAAACACATAGGCATTTCTATGCTTCCATATCATCCAAGCACCCAAAATTATTTGGGAATTTACCCCCTTCTTGTATTCTTTTTTCACTTTCTTCAAAACTTTGCGCCAACATTCAAGTGGCTACGCTCCACCGCCTTGGAATGCAATCACCTAGGTTCAGGGGTGCTAAAAGCTTGAACCAAACCTATCTTGCCACCACACAAGATACTAGCGAGTGTTGTAATGTGTCATCCTCCCCGATCACATAGGGGCATTGCTCGTGATGAGGCAGCCCTCTCTTTTCAAGTCTATCTCATTCCCAACCTATTACGAATCGCCAACCAAAGAAAAACCTTACACTTATTTGGAGCCCAAGTTTTCCGAGTCTTCTCAAGGCTCAAAGGTTACCGATCCTGAAATAAGCCCGATAAGCAGATTTAGAGGAGTAGCAACCCCTGTGTTCCAATTTCCAAATGTGTCGATCTTCAAAATCATTTAATCAAGGCCCAGACACACCCCATAGTTGCGTAAACTCCCCGATTCCAATCCAAGACAGACTCCCTCGATTACATGTAAACCCATTTATTATTGTCCAAAGCCTCACCCATTGTTTGTCTTTTACGGACCCTTGGAGACACACTTGCAAAAACCTCAAAAGATTCTCCATCGAACAACCATGCAACCACACATGTCTCATTCAAAAAGCGATTATTTCCATTTCCTAACTCAGGCTTGACAACAATAGAAAACAAGGCTAGTGAGTGAGGATGCGAGGGGAGTTCAAGATCAATCCAAGGTCGATCGGTTTGGGTTTTCTTATGCCACTTTGCCATCTAGCTTGCAATGCCCAAGCCATGACCTCAAGATTGATAATTCCTAAACCACCAAAAATCCAAAGGGTTGGTCGGTGACCTTTTCCCATGCAACTAAACAACAACCTCCATTAGCTTGTTCCTTCCCTTCCAAAGAAAGCCTCTTTGGATTTTATCAATCGCATTTATGAACTATTTTGGAACGTTGATGGCGATCGGAAGATAAATAGGTATCACCGAGAGAACAAACCGGACCATAGTAATACGCCTCGCCCTATTCATTAGGACAGCTTTCCATCCCGGCAACTTATCGCCCACCTTCTCAATCCAAGGCATAAGGTCAGCTTTTTCTCAGTTTCTTGTTGGATGAGGCAGCCCTAGATAAGTGCAAGGAAATTCGCAACAAAGGCAAGGAGGGTATCTCATCGGCTCTAGGGAAACATCATCACAACGGATGGGAATAATGTTGCTCTTGTGCAAATTGGTCCGCAGCCCCGAGGCCATACCAAAGGCATTGAGAATTTCCTTTGTGACCTCTAGTTCATCCTCGATCGGCCTTATAAAGAGAGCAACATCATCAAGATACTGAGAGAGACGCCAGTCCAGAAATTCTTTGGGAGAGGGGTTGCGAGAGCCCTTCCTCTCCAACTTTGACAAAGAGACTATTAAGCACATCCATAACCAAAATAAATAACATGGGGATAAAAGGATCGCCTTGTCGAGTCCACGCTGATGTTGAATAACATTTCCGTGTTCCCCATTTATCAATACCGAGTGGAAGAGGTAGATAGCAAATTTGAAATCAGATTGCACCATGATATGCCGAAGCCCAAGTGAGAGAGTACTTCCAGGAGGAACGACCAAGCTACCGAATCAAAGGCTTTAGAGATATCCAATTTCAAAAATAGACTTGGTACCTTTTGGCGATGAAGAACCTTTACAGTTTGTTGGACAAGGATGAAATTATCATGAATACTTCGCCCTCTAATAAAAGCACTCTGATTTGTAGCAACCAAAGAATTGAGATGAGGTGCCAATCTGTTAGCAAGGATCTTGGTTACTAGTTTCGCGAAGCTATGAACAAGACTGATGGGTGTGAGTGTGATGTAAGCTGCATTAAGAAGCCCCAATCCCCTAGCATTTCCTTGCTGCAAAGTGATAATAGCAGCCATAAAATCTAATTTGATCACCAACCAGCATTCCTTGCAAAACTTGCCCATATACCCATCTGGTCCTGGAGCCCTATCAGTCGGCAAGGCCTTAATAGTTGCCTAGACCTCCTCTTTAGTGATCGGGCTATCCAACATGGACAACTCCGAAGCAGCCCTATGAAAAGATTGTAGGTTCAAAGAGAAGGATCGATCAACGACTTTTCCAATCAGATTTTCATAAAAATTATGCATGACCTCCTGCTTGTCCTCTTGAGATGTGGCCACTCTATCGCCATCAATAAGTTTGGGCATAAAGTTTTTCCGCTTCCGAAAAGTCGTTTGCTTGTGGAAGAATGAAGTGTTAGCATCACCCTCTTTAAGGTATCTAACTCGGGACCGTAATCTTGCAATGGTCCTTTCAAACAAGGCTAGTCTCAAGCAGTGACACTTCAATTCTCTTCACAACCACTCCTCTTGTGGGGAAAGCTGCCTCATGTCTTGAGCCATTTCAAGTCTATGTAACACCTCACGAGCAAGAGCTAGCTGTGACTTTATGTGTCCCACCTTCTTGGTACTCCAAGATTGCAAGGCCTGTGTCAACCTTTTAAGCTTGATAGAGATGCACTCAAGAGGGCTAGCATCTGTCACCGGTTCTTCCTAAGAATTACTAACGGTGTCCTGAAACCCTGGCAATTGTGGCCAAAAATTTTCAAAATGGAACCGTCTTTTGCCTCTAACACCATCCTGAAGCCTGAGCACTAGAGGGCAATGATTTGACATCTCTGTTGCATGACTTTGTAATACACAGTCTGGATAGATGTCTTCCCAATCTCCTGTACAAAGAACCCTATCCAACTTGACCAGAGTAGGTGAAGCCCTCTCGTTAGACCATGTATATCTTCGGCCCAGAAGTGGAATTTCCTTAAGTTCCATATCATTTACAAAGCGGCGAAACCTTCCCATTAAAGCCCTGTTCACATTGTCATTGTTTTTATCTTCAGCAGAGTAGATCATGTTAAAATCACCGGCAAGCATCCACGGTCCGCTGCAGTGACTTCTCACCTCCCTTAGTTCTTCAAGAAAGGCTGGTTTCTCCGCATCCAAATGAGGCCCATAAATCCCAGAAAACCACCATACATTCTCTCCATCTGTTTTGAACTTGACTGAGACAGAATGTCGAAGAACGCGATGGCACTCTGTTGTAAAAACCTCATTTCTCCATGCAGCCAGGATTCCTCCCCTAGTTTTTTGGGCAGGGAGGTAAACAAAAGATTGAAAAGCCTGTCCTAAAATAGAAAGCACGTCATGAACTAAGATGTGAGAAAGTTTCGTTTCTTGTAGACAAACCAAAGCCGGCTGACAAGACTGCACAGTCTGATGAACGGCATCCCAACACGCTTTATCATTAAGACCTCTTACAATCCAAATTAAGACATTACATGGAGCCATAATTGAAAAGAGAAAGTACCACCAGAATAGGGAACACCCTAAACCACAGAGATGCTAGCTATGGAGCACACCTTATCACAGGAAGGCACATTCCAACCAAAGAGTGTTGCTAGAGCCTTCACATGATCATGACTCAAGGTTTCTTCAAACATCTTGACATACTATCCCATCGCTTCTTCAGAAATGCCTTCATTACCAGTATCTACATTGTCCTCCCCATTCTTAATCAGAATCGCTCGCAAACTGTTGTCGCAGACTTTCAGATCGTAAATCTGGCGCGGTTGGCCACCCTTCTTCTTCTTCTGGGAACGAAATCCACTGGCAATGTTTTCTTCCTTGGCTTGGGAGGAGGGGGGCGCTGCCAGAAGACAACCCCCATCGGCTTGGTAACCTTAGCTATGAAAGCCAAGGTTGCAATTGGTGTGGTGGCGAGAGCAAGCATGAGTAGGCGGTGCTTTAGAGGATGATCCATCTCTCATCACAGCTTAGGGAATCACTCAAAGATGAACAAGGGCAACGAAGCGGCCGCAACTGTGGTCGCAACACACACCGGCCGAGACAGAGGGGCGGTGGTGGAGCCAAGGCATCCTCTACGACACTCACCGGGCGAACACCTCCCCGACCGATCGATGGACCACGGCGAAGGCACGCTTGCGCCTACAACGCCAAGACCGAACGAGGTCCAGTCCAAGCGGAGGCGCCAAGGCCTCAACGGCATCCATGAAGACAAGTCTTGCTCTCTCACCACCGGGCCGGCATCAGTCGCTTTGAGGCGATGTTCTTGCCACGAACACACACTTGCACAAACACTCTACATTCAACAACTAGCTAGCCCATTGTAACGACTTTTTCCTTGAAACCTTTACTATAGCAACACATTGTCAAATCATGGACTAATTAAGTTTAAAAAATCGCCTCGCAAAAAGTAATCGTAATCAGTGCAATAAGTTATTTTTAATCTATATTTAATACTTAATACATGTGTTAAATATCCAATATGATAGAAACTAAATTTTAGAGAGAGGAACTAAAATAAGGCCTAAATTAAAATTTTAAGGAAAAGAAAAGAAATTAATCCGATGGACAGTCAAACTCTCGTACCAAGAACTCAACTGCACTTTATCCACGGTGGATTCTCACCACTGCCCGCAGAGGATCCTACGGAGTACTCGCGTGTGGCGCCATCCGCAGGCCGCAGGCTGTGCGGTGTGCACGCGGACAGTGCGCAGTGGCGGTGCACCGATCCACCCGGTCCCCGTGACGAGCCGCGCCCGCGCGCTAGACACACACGCTCGCGAACACGAACAGGGACACGAGACCGCGGCGGCCATGGCGAGAGGCGGCGGCGGCGATCCGAGGCCGGAGGATGACCCTTTCTCCGACGGCGACACCACCGGATCCGATTCCGACGAGTCCCCTCAGCAGGGGATGGGGGCTCGCCGCCCCGGCGCTGCCTCCAACCCGATCCTGAAACGCCTCGCGGTGTCGCGGAACCCGAGCCCGCTGGCCGCGGCCACCGCGGCGCCAGGGGTCTGCCTCCTCCGCTTCGCCTGGGAGTCCGCCGCGGGCTCCCTCGTCGCGCCGTCGTTGGATACGGTAAACCCACGCCTCCCGTCGTCTCTGCTCTCCCTTGCCTCCCCGTTCGAATGGAACCTTAACCTCGCGCTAGGGTTTATGGCTCACCGACGGCGAGGCAACGTGTGTCGTGACGCCATTTCGAGGCCCTCAGGTGCGGACTCGGGATGATGAGGTTATGTTTCCCCAATTCTAGCCTCCCAATTGGTGTGATAAGTATTGTTTTGCTATGGCCATTGTTAATCCTGGGCGTAGCCAGGTACTTGTGCCCTGGTCCAATTTGTGGTCTTTATCGTACAACTCTGCTCTTAGGAACTGTTTTCATTTGTTTGGTCTATAATTGCACCATTTAGAACTTTGTTTTGTTAGATTAGTGTTGTGTTGTCTAAGTTTCTACAGATTGTAGAGAAGATCTGATTCAAGTGGGACTATTTGGTTTCAATAAATGTCTAAATTTGAAATGTGGGGGGTGAAATTTTCTCTGTTTTATTCACTTTATTTTTGTCCTGATGACTCCTGAGGCCTGACCATGTAACCGTACAGAGGTTTAGTATTGGCTGTATTCATGAAACATGTAAGGATTAAAATAATAAAAGAAACTAAAAATGACTAAACCTTGATTCACACAGTCAGATATCACTTGACTTAGGGCTGAGACTCTCAGCCTGGAAAAGCTTCACTTGCATGGGTATTTGTGTTATCTGAAAAGTTTACAGAAACCCATCTAATAGGTAATCTGTTTTCAAATTGATGTATTGTCCATAGTTGAATAGTTAGTTGGTGAGTTGAATGGTTCTGGAGTATTTGTTCTGTAGCATATCTGTTTTTTAATGAAAGAGAAGGTCTGGAGGTGTGTTTGGAGCATTTCACATCTGCTGCTCTGTTGCTCTACCTGCCCTGCATGGGTGAGGATTAGTTTAATTTGGGAAATTGGGTCTTCTTACAACCCTATGCAAGTGGGGATCAACATTAGTGATTAAATTGGATAAAGGTGAGCTGCAAAAGTTAAATTAAGGTTAGATAAGTGGAATAATTCTGGTTACATTCCGATGGCATAACCTTGTATTTTCAGCATCCATCATGCCAACCAGATGCCATCTTGTGTTCTTAGTTCATTCTGCATCATCACACACAGCTGACCAAACAGAACCCTGACTTGTATCTTCTCTTGTTCAAACCAGTCTGGGCCCCAGCTGTATTATTTGATTCACTGCTTACGAGTAGAAATTGAAAGATATCTCCTCTTCAGAGAAGACCGAATAGGAAATCAGAGATGCTTGTACCAAATAGGAAATACTACTGGTATTATCAAAGCTACAATTCACTTGAGTTTTATACATAAATTATCCATAGAGTTATATCCCAAAATCTGGTTTAGCCCTTCAAATGCATATATGGTTCAACGTGAGCAATGCTGGCCTGATCTGAATCCTCACATGTAAAAAAAAAAAGTTCATCCAAATAACTTCTACCTTGATTTGTGAAGAAGCAAAAAGAAACCAAAACTGAGATATGAAGAACTTAATCCTTTTAACTGATGTTACAGTCATCACCATATGGTCCTGAAATTGGCACCATAAAGCCCTTTCTAGAAAATTATTATGCTTTTATTTGTGTTAGCACTGGTAGTGGATCAGTATCCCTCTGCTTAAACCATATATTCTCGGCTGTAGCTTTATTTTTATGCTCTTTCTTAGAGGGTCAACAACTATAGAATCACACAATCGGTAGAGATCCCTGTATGACTTATTGGATTAGTGAGCACAAGATCCTATATTTTAACTAACGCAGTGTTCTAAAAAGTGCTAGGTGGGTCCTGGAATCCTGGTGGTGTCTAGCTCCAGATTGTGTTTTTGTTATCCTTTTTTGTTCTTCTGCTGTGAAGCCTACATGTATAATCAGATAGCTCCACTTTTCTATTTTCTTTAATTTTTCAGGTAAAGGTTTGGTTATGATGAAGGGGTTTAAAGGATCATTTCCTGATGCTGCGTCATCTGCTAAGGTATAAGGATATTCTTTCCACATGTGGATACCACTTTGTGCCTATTGTTTACCAACATCTCATGGTGTAAATCTTGCCTTCTTGATCTAGATATTTGCTGTTCTTGCTGGTGTTCAAAGTTTGGTAGCCTGTTCTTTGAGAAAACTTCGTGGAAAAGATGATGGTTTGTATTTGTCTGTGTTCTGTTTGTTTCTTTTTTTATTCCTCTGGATTAATAAAATGCTAAAAATGCATGAATGCATTAACATGTCAATTATTTTATTTCCAGGAATCAATGCAGGAGTCGCAGGCTGTTGTACTGGCCTTGCTTTGAGCTTTCCAGGTAAAGTTTCAGGAAATGTGCAATCAATAGCTTTGAACTGTTTTAATTTACAATTGCTGCACAGCCTGTTCCTTAATGGCCTGGTGAGGACAAAGGTTACATAAACAATAGCCACATTGTTTATGCCGAGTTCTGGCTATTGGACAATTGCTCTTTTTTATATATGCTCTTTGCAATTTTGACACTGTTTGTTGAAAAGTGAAAACACAATGTCTGTGTTAAAAATTTTATGATCACTTGCTCATATGTGTGGTTCTTGGGTTGTACCTTTGCTTGCAACCCTTGATCTGGTTGACCTTTGGAGCATAGCATAGAAACCTTCCTATGCCGGGGACTAGAGGAAGCTGGTTGTATACTTGTGTTAGTTGATGGCATGCCTGTTTCTTTAGATTGAATGGTCTGAGTGTCTGTCACGAATAAAAAGTTTGATGCTTATTATGCTTAACAATTCCGCATTTTGATACCTCCTTAGGATGCCTCCATAATCAATTGTGGTTTGTCTCCTGTGCACTATGGAGTATCAATGTTTAGATTCCAATTACTCATCTTCTGTTGATGTCCATGGCATACATTGACTATTTGCATTCCATTCAAGTTAATTTGTTATGCTCACTTGTTTTTGATTTCTTAGAATATGATGGCCCGGTGCAGTAATTGTTGAAATCAATATCATTTTTTTTATTGGGTTTCAGGTGCACCACAAACTCTGATTCAGAGCTGCCTGACCTTTGGGACTTTCTCTTACATCATTGAGAAGCTAAACAAGCAGCAGCCTGCGCTGGCGCCCCCCTCTCGACAGGTGTGATGGATCTGAAGGCTGGACAAAGTGTTCTTCCTCCTTCACACTTCCTCTTCCGGATGCGATGGACGAATTTTCTAAGTTCCAAAACTTTTTGTCATCCAAATTTCGGGGAAACTGAGTTATCCTTATGGAGTGACGCCTAGTTACCTACTCTGGAACGTGTCCTTGTAAATGCGTCAATGGTCAATCAGAGTTCTTTTTTTCTTGTTTATTTCTTGGCAAATGTATGTTCCCAAGGTAGTGTTTTGCTAGTGTTGATGATTCTACCCTGTTATGTAACAATTTTGCAAATAAGGGAGCAGATTGTCCTTTGTTCAACTGGTCGGTTCTTCGGAGTTGTACCCACATATCGTGCCCCGTAATTACCTAGTCGACATTCACCAGTTAGAGCCAACATGAATTACCACAACCATGGTAAATAGTATTTTTTATGTAACTTTAGTTAAAGTTCAAAATTATTTGACTTCAAAGTGAGAATTGCGCCCTTTTATGAAAGGAGAGAGTACTAGGCATTCAATCAACACTGCTTCCATTTCAGATTCCTCTCAACCTCTGATCAATCTTTCTTACCTGGTTTCGCGATCCCTGAAGCTGCATCTCCCTTTTCAAAAGAAGCAGCAACAACTGCATCTCTATAAGGGCACCGCCAACGGAGGCAGCACATGCTGTTGGCCTTGGGCTAAAATGACCGGTACGCGTAGATAGCTGTGCTCTTTGGTTAACACACTCCTATCGAAGGCAGTTTTGCTTTTTTACTGCACCATCACATCATGTCCCCTTCAATCTCTCCTATTCTTTTCCACTTCTCTACTTTTTCTCTATGGACCACACTCCCTACACATCTCCTGTAGTAGCTTCATCTTTTGGTCTGATGAGATCACTACTTCTTCTGCAGGCCGCTCTGTGCATTGCAAGGTATAAGTCTTTTTGACGTGAATGTTTAGCATCATCGTGGAGTCTAGGGCAGTACGCCACGTCCTTGCGTTGGGGAAGCCCTAAGGGCAATAACAACGCAAGCAGTTCACGGTGGTCTCAAGTAAAAGTAACCTTCCATGTAAGTTTGGACGGAGGCAACAGGCTAGTACGAGTACTTGTGTACTCACTACTGTTGCTAGTCTGCTTGCTTTTTCCAACTAAAAGAGTATTTCTTTGCGCTCACCCACAACTTTCTTAATCTCTCTCTTCACAAATCACTTGCTTTTCTGTCTACTCTGCAAGCCACCGCTTTCTCCTTTCTCTTCTCCATGTCGCGTCCAATCCTACATGTCCTGACAAGGCTACAATCCCGGGTTGGAGTGTTGGGAAAGCTCTAACCTGCTCTCTGCGCCCACCCTATGGCCGCATGGAGAAGAGGGAGGAGGTTCCCTTAGCCTCACCACGAGACAAAAGTATTCCTTTTTAAAAGTTCATATTACATTTTAACATTTAGAAAGGAAGTACAGAGATTTGGGAAGGGAATTTTTTTATCATATTTGGGAAGGGAATTTACCTTGATATTTTGCAAACATGCTTAAATACTTAGATCACGACTTGGGAAGGTTTCCTACTAGAAAAAATCACCATCTCTATATATATTAGATCATGGCCGATTGAGATTAACCATACACAATCGATCCAAAATCTACCTAGTACTACATCCCCCACTTTTATCTCTTCCAACTCTTTGTTGTCCAGCACATCTCTCGACAAGATTCATTGACGTACTAGGTGGCCTTACTGACCTAGCACAACCTCATTGTTCTTCTCCGTAACGGGTCTTCTTGGGAGGTGTTCGTGAGCTTTTCAGGCGAAGAACGAACGTCTACATCGCACGACCGACTTGATGGTCATCCTCAATGTTTGTCTTTGCTGCGTGCTAGGATGTGTGTGGCCCCAAGCATAGTAGTCCTCGCTGGTATGTGACCCTAATCGGCATCAACAGTACCATGTTGTGTTTACTTTTTAGTGTACGTATTATTTATAAGTGACCCAACTTACCTTAAGTTGTCTTTTACAGTGGTCATGTAATGGTCGAATAATAATAAAAAGAAGGGCCATGTGATGGCCAATTAAAAATGGCTAGGTGTTGAATATGGCCCCGTGATAGGTCCAGCGTGATGCCTGGCTAATGAAAAGGAGAAGAAAGAAAGGTTCAAAAAAAAGGAGAAGAAAGAAGAGACCATGTGTGACCAACATGATGCATGCGTGGTGAGTGGGGGCAATCTTATATTGTGTACATGTGAGTCGTGTGACATGTGAAGCTCACGCGGGGTAGTTTGCATGCATGATCTAATAATCAAAAGAAGCGAGGCTAATCGTGTTCGTGTTGGAAAATGAGGGAAATGCCAGTGCCGACTCTATCCAGGACTCCAGGTGCTGACTCTATAGATGATTAGGCTGACGTGCTGCATTTGTGCCCCGTCCGAATAGAAAAAAGGGCCCACGTCAGGGGCGTTGCCCGTATAGGAGCTCTTGTTGCCACAGCTACAGTTGTCTAGATCTCCACAGGGAAGTTTATCAGCTGCTCAAGAAAGAAGAGAACTAGCAACTTCAGTTGAGCAGAGAGAAAAGAGAGGAACCTAGTTTTGGGATGTTGTTGAAATCCTTACATGAATATTTTGTATGCACCTTTGAGCACATACAAGCATTGTATTGGTAAAGTCATTTCTCTGCTCTCTTATCTTACATGCTCATTCTTGATTTCAGTGGTGCTTAGAAGGACCTTTCACTATAGGAGAGGAGTTAGACACAGTGACCCCCTTTCGCTATTACTTTTTGTTCTTGCAGCAGACGTACTTCCTCCAGTCCCTAATCAACAAAGGAAAAGATACTGGACTATTGAACTCGCCAATCTTTTTGCAAGCCACATCTGACTTCCCTATCATCCAATATGCTGATGAGACTTTAATCAACATAGAAGGAGATGCTAGGCAACTTTTCTTTTTGGAATCAGTGTTAAACATATTTTTGGAGTCCAGTGGCTTACAGGTAAACTTCATAAAGTCAATGATGGTCCCAGTAAGCATTTATGAGCAGAAGCTAGAGCTTCTCGCAAGGACTTTTGGCTGTGAAAAGGGTTCTATGCCATTCACTTATTACTTGGGGTTGCCACTTGGAATTACATTTGAATGTGAAAGAATATTGGCAAGTGTGTCCACCTTTTTGTCTTAAGCTGGAATATTAGAACTAACAAATGTAGTTTCTTCATCACTCCCAATCTTCTACATGAGTACCTTCAACCTACTGGCATCTGTCATCAAACAAATAGACAAATATATAAAGCATTACCTATGGAGGAGATCGGACATAAATGTAAAAAAAAGCTACCAAAGGCAGCTCTATGTCAACGTTTCAAATTTTAGAAATGGAAAAAGCTACTTGTTCTAGTAAGATAACTGGTGTAAAGTCCTGAAGATTAGTTAGTCATATCTTCATTCTTTTGAAAAAAAAACAGGCTTATCTCAGTTAGCAAAGCCGTGCCGTCTCTCAAGAACAATGCACCCAATTGTTTCACTTGTCTCTCTCAGAGACTGCCTTCAATCAATTGTAGGCTATCCTTCAAATCTTGGATGAAACACAGCTGGTTGAAGCATCAAGTTTAATGTTGCTTCAACCTTCAATTATTGTATCGGAGTAGCCCACCATAGTTACATCACATCACAGGACTGATGTGACGTAAAATTATTGAAGCAGCTTGAAGTGTTGGAGCGCCGGGCGACCGTCGAGGCCTTTCTTGTCGTAGTGCGCCAGGAACTCCGGGACCGTCAAGCTCCTGTACAGCGCCCCCCTTCCAGTTCCCGCGCCGTAGCCGTCGTCCGAGGTGATGAGCTCCGCGATGGGTCCATACAGCCTCGTGGACCTCGCGATGTCCGCGTTGCAGAAGCACGCCACTGACACCCTCGCCGTGTCCCTGCTCCGGTTGGCCACCACCCGGTGCTCCACGCTCCTGAACCGCCCGTTGCTGACCAGCTGGAGGAGGTCGCCGACGTTCACCAGGAGCGCGCCGGGCACCGGAGTCACGTCCACCCACCCGGAAGCCAGCAGCGCCTGCAAGCCGCCCTGCGCGTGCCCGTCCTGCAGCAGCAGGGTCAGGAAGCTGGGTTCCGAGTGCGCGCTGCACCCCAGGGTGAGGTCGGGCTCCGGGCACGGCGGGCAGCAGTTGTTAGATTGATCTTTAATCTTAAACTTAGCCTAATGGCCTAGTTGATTTTTTCATCTACGTCCTGATTAGGGGCGCCTAGCCTATTATGGCTGGAGGGTCCCTATCACACTGCGTTATATATAGAGGTAGGGTCGGCGGCTCTGAGTACGAGGTTGACCGAGCTACAGTTCCCCACCGAAATCCCTAATCTGATCTAGAGGGTGCGCAGCCAGTGACGGAAAGCTTCACTGCCTCGCCGCCACCGAACTGCGCCACCGGACTGCGTCACCGGACTCCACTGCCTTCGTTGACCCGCCTCCACCGGACCGTGTCACCTACGACCACTACACGACACCCTGCCTTCACCGGCTCCATGGCAGACGCGAGCGGATCCTCTTCCAAGGGCACAGACGGTCGGCCCTTTCCATCCCTTCCTCTCTCTCTAGATCTAATAGTTTAAAGTTTTAGGGTGTGTTCATCATGTTTATAGTAAGATGTACCCGCTAGATCTACGGCTAAGGTCATGTTCTTCTCAACAATTTTATTAGAGCCAGGTCTTCTAAGACTTTTAGATCTAGATCGGGTGAATGAAAAACACAGTGAAATCGAAACCCTAACCCTAACCGGGTAAAAGAAAATAAAAAGAGACCAGGGGGGTGGCGGGCATCACTCAACTGCCGGTCACCACCGCCACCGCGCGGGGAAAGGTGCCGCACCGCCGTCTTCGCCGACGCGCGGCAAGAAAAGAACATAAAACTCTAACCCTAACTTGACGTAACCCTAACCCTAATCCCCAATCGGATGAAATCTGAGAAGAACAGAGAAGAAGATCCAAATCGGAGAAGAAGGGGAAAAGGGGAGGGGCCTACCTCATCGTGCACCGCGCTGCCGCCTCGCCGGCCCGTGGGAAGATGGCCAAGCCGTGTGAGCTCGGCCAAGGGCGCCGCCACTAGTCCGCTGACGGCGACGCTACCACCCAGCGGGGGGCGCGCGCGACACCGCGAAGGGGCCGCAGAACGACACCATGTCGCTCGGCCGCCGCCACGCTTGCTCGTTATCTTTGAGGGTCTTTGCGCTAAGGAGAGAGCTGCTGCACGCGAGAGAGGGAGAGGGTGAGAGAACAAATGGCTAGGGTTTCGGGTGCTGGCCGCCGCGTCGTGGTTTTTCATCCTCCAAAGCGCGCGCTCGGCCGTCCGATCTACATCGACGGTGTGGAAGTAACGGGCCGGAGGCCGGCCTAGGCGGGCGCGAGCGGGCGAGCCGCTTTCTCGGCCTGCCCAGCCCCACAGTTGTGCCTAGGTGGGAGCACAAGCATAAGGTAGGTAGGGCCGCTTTTTGGTCGGGCCGAAGGAACAGTACTGATTTGAGTCAATTTTTCCTTTCCTTTTTTCCAGTAAATCGTTATTTCCTGGAATATGGATAAATGACTCAAAGAAAATAGAAAAGAGATTTTTCCTGTGGGGAAAATTCATTAAATTGAATTAGTTTTTCCTCTGCTAAGGAAATAGTTTATTCTCCAGTTATTTCGAACCAACGTGATATTTAATTGGAGAAAAAGAGATTTTGACATGATTATGATGTTGTTATTTTCCGACCAACTTTGTTAATAACAATATCATAATTTTAATGATTTTATGCATTATTTTTATTTCTGCCCAACGGTGATGTAGATTTAATATATAAACAGTTGTATGTTTTAATTTTGACCAACATTGGAATCAAGGCATGCAATTGTTGTTGTTATTTATGTTCTCACCCTATATGAATTATGTTTTCAGACGGATACAACTTGATAGGTTATATCAAAGAGATCCCCACTCTCAAATGTCACAACTACATGGAGTGAAAGAAAAAGATTGACCTGACCTTCATCTTGGCTGAGGTGGACTGGGTAGTCACCTCACTGTGTCCCACTGAGCCTATGGCACCGATGAGTGAGACAAACGAGGCTGATGCCCCTTGAGCAACTAGAGAGAGGGATTTTGCATCCCAAAAGATGTCCTATGACATTGAGTATAGAAAGTGGGTCACTTTAACAAAAAAATATTTATTATGATAAAGAACATGATTGAGCCTGAAATTGTGGGCTCAATCCCAAAGTATGACACAGTCACCAAGTACCTCGATAGAATAAAGAGTCAGTTCACTAGCTCTTCGAAGACATATGCTACCCAGCTGATAAAGCAGCTGGTGACAGAGAGGTACCCTGAAAATGGTGGTATAAGAGAGCACATACTAAGGATGAACAATTTGACATCAAGCTAAAACCAATGGATCTGGCTCTCAAGAAAGAGTTCCTTATCCATCTAATTTTTGCTTCCTTACCAAAGAAATTTGACACTTTTGTTGTCAACTACAACATACAGCCCAAGAAGTGGGACTTAGAGAGGCTCATGGCTATGTGTGTGCAAGAGGAGGAGAGAATGAAAGCTGTCAATGATGGCACTATCAATTATGTGAAAGACAACAAGAAAAAGAATAATAATGCTAACTCCTCAAAGTCAAAGGGAAAGGGTCCCATGCTGCATCAGCCTCAACAGAACAAGTTCACAGTAGAGAAAGACCAGTGTCTCTATTGCAAGAAGATATGACATTATAAGAAAGATTATCCCGATTACTTAAAGATGATCATGGCAAAGAAAGATGAGAACATTATTACATTCATAAATGAATCCCTAAATGTACAGTATTCGAAATCTACTTGGTGGATTGACTCAGGTGCAACTGTTCATGTTGCTAATTCCTTACAGGAATTCTGTTCGACGAGGACTACGCAAAGAAGAGAAAGACACGTTAAAATTGCAAATGGAGTCCGAGCAGATGTTGAAGCCAAGTGGCGATCTTTCTCTAAAGTTTGCTTGATGGCTTCACACTTTTACTTAGAGATGTACTTTATGTTCCCTCTTTACAGAGAAACTTGATTAGTGTTTCATACTTGGACAATGATGGATATGATTGCCATTTTGGAAATGGCAAATGTAAGATAACAATTAATAATGCATGTGTTGGTCTTGCTATCTTACAAAATGAGCTTTATTTGTTATCACTACGTGATGATGTGAATGTTGTATGCGATGATGGAAACGTTGCGTGCGACAATGAGAATGTATTCTCGTCTACAGATGTAAACAGAAAACGAAAGAGAGCTCATGATGCGTCATCAAAATTATGGCACTATCGTTTAGGTCATATTTCGAGAGAGAGAATAGAAAGACTAGTTAAGAATGATATTCTTCCTCCATTAGAGTTCTTAGATTTAGAACAATGCAGAGAATACATAAAAGGAAAGTATGTAAAGAAAATTAAGAAAGATGTCAAATGAAGCGTAGGAATTTTACAGATTATTCACACAGACATTTGTGATTCGTTTCCTATAAAGAGTGTGGATGGTTATGATTCATTCATAACATTCACAGATGATTACTCCCGTTATGGCTACATTTTTCCAATCAAAGAAAGAACAAAAACATTTGATAAATTTAAGATATTTAAGGTAGAAGTTGAAAAATCAACACAATTTAAAGATTAAGATACTCTGGTCTGACCGTGGGGGGGGAGTACTACGGTCGGCATACCCCATATGGCCAAGTTCCTGGACCTTTTGCAAGGTTCTTATAGGAGAATGAAATAGTAGCCTAGTATTCTACACTGGACGAACCTCAGCGGAATGGAGTAGCTGAAAGACGCAATCGTACCCTGATGGATATGGTGCGCAGTATGATAAGTTACTCTACCTTATCGTTGAGCCTGTGGATGGAGGCGTTAAAAACCGCCATTCATATTCTCAATAGAGCACCAAGTAAGTCAGTGCCCAAAACACCGTATGAGTTGTGGACAGAAAGATTACCCTTACTAAACCACTTACGTGTGTGGGGGAGTCCTGCTAAGGCTAAAGTATTTAACCCAAACATTGGGAAGCTAGATCCCAAAACAGTAAGTTGCCATTTCATTGGTTATCTAGAAAAGTCAAAAGGTTTTTGTTTCTACTGTCCAGACATACATACAAAGTTTGTGGAAACAAGACACACTGTCTTCCTAGAGGATGAAATGATGAGAGTGAGCATGGTAGCTCGAGAAATTGACCTTGAAGAGAAGCGGATGTATGCGCCCACTCCGATGATTCATGAGCCATTTTTCTCACTACCTGTTGTCGCTGCACCGATAATGTAAGATACTGTGGTGCCAGCACCTGTTGTTATTTCGCCTGTGGCAACAATGAATGACGATGAGAAACCTGTTCTTCAGGATCCTGTAGAACCTATTGCCACACATGAGGGGGAGCAACAACAGCCTCAAACAGAAGATGTGCCAAATGTGGAGGCCCCTAGAAGGTCTCAAAGAGTTAGAAAATCAGCTATTCCTACTGACTATGAAGTATACAACACTGAGGAATTTTAAATAGAGGATGATCCCACCTCATTTGAAGAAGCCATGAGAAGTGATCATTTATCAAAGTGGCTTGAAGCCATGGAAGATGAAATGAAATCTATGAATGCCAATAAAGTTTGGGACTTGAAAATAATTCCTAAAGGAGCCAAAACAGTAGGCTGTAAATGGGTCTATAAAATAAAACTTGACTCTCAAGGGAATATAGAGAGATATAAAACTCGACTTGTGGCAAAAGGCTTTACGCAAAGAGAAGGGATTGATTACAATGAGACATTTTCTCCAGTCTCATGTAAGGATTCCTTCAGAATTATAATGACATTAGTGGTACATTATGATTTAGAATTACATCAGATGGATATAAAGACGATATTTCTCAACGGGGACTTGGAGGAAAATATTTACATGGCACAACCGAAATGTTTTGTCATGGAAGAAAAAGAACAAATGGGATGCTACCTAAAGAAATCTATTTATGGATTAAAAGAAGCTTCAAGACAGTGGTACTTGAAGTTTGATCAGATAATAAGGAATTTTGGGTTTAAAGAGAATCAATTGTGTCTATGCAAAGTTTAAGAATAGGAAGTTTATCTTCCTTGTCCTATATGTGGATGATATCTTACTTGCTAGTAGTGATGTCAGTCTACTACTGGAGACAAAGAAGTTTTTGTCCTCAAAATTTGATATGAAAGATTTTGGTGAAGCTTCGTTCGTTCTAGGGATCGAGATTCACCGAGATAGAAGTAAAGGGGTATTAGGACTGTCACAAGAGGCATACATAGAAAAGATCTTAAAGAAATTCAATATGTACAAATGTAGTCCCTCACCTGCTCCAATAGTCAAGGGCGACAGATATGAGGATTTTCAATGCCCCAGGAATCAGTATGAGATCGATCAAATAAAAACGGTTCCATATGCTTCAGCTGTCGGAAGCTTGCAATATGCTCAAGTATGTACGCGCTCTGACTTGGCATTTTTTACCGGGTTACTTGGCAAATTCCAGAGCAATCCTGAAACAGAACACTAGAAATTAGTAAAGAAAGTCTTGCGTTATTTACAAGGAACAAAAAGCCTCATGATGACGTATAGAAAATCAGATTCACTTCATATAGTGAGATATTCAGATTCTGATTATGCGGGAGATGATAGAAAATCCACGTCTGGATATGTATTCACTCTCGCAGGGGGAGTTATTTCATGGAAAAGCTCAAAGCAAACTGTCACTACATCGTCCACAATGTATGCCAAGTTTGTAGCGTGTTATGAGGCAACGAGGCAGGTGAACTGGCTAAAGAAGTTCATACCCGGTTTGAAGGTGGTTGACGACATCTATAGACCACTTAAGTTATACTACGATAATAATCCGGTAGTACAGTATGCTCACAACAATAAGTTAAGTGGTGCTGTCAAACACATTGATATAAAGTATTATGTTGTGAAAGATAAAGTCCGGGATCATGTCATAAGTCTTGAGCATATAAGTACCGAAAAGATGCTCACGGATCCGCTTACAAAAAGCTTACCACCCAACGTGTTCAGAGAACATGTAGCCGGCATGGGTTTAAGGGAAAGGCTATAATTCCTGGACAAAAGAAGGCCCAAAGTTAAGTATCTATTTCAGAACAGAGTGGTGTGTTGTAGTTGTTAAATCTATTGGCATTTGACCGTGACGATGAAACATGCTCTATGCGTTATTTGTAATGGAATGAACAAAAGTAAATGATATGAAATTGAAAGATGGTAGGAGATCAAGGGGGAGATTGTTAGATCGATCTCTAATCTCAAACTGGGCCCAACGGCCCAGTTGGGCCTTTGATCTGCTCCCTGATCGGGGGCGCCCAACCCACTATGGCTGGAGGGCCCATGTCACACTGCGCTATATATAGAGGTGGGGGCCGGCGGCTCTGAGTATGAGGTTGACCGAGCTACAGTTCTCCACCGAAATCCCTAATCCGATCTAGAGGGTGCGCAGCTAGTGACGGGAAGCTCCACTGCCTCGCCGCCATCGAACTGCGCCACCGGACTGCGTCACCGGACTCCACTGCCTTCGCCGACCCGCCGCCACCGGACCGTGTCACCTACGACCACTACACGGCACCACTGCCTTCACCGACTCCATGGCGGGCGCAAGCGGATCCTCTTCCAAGGGCACAGACGGTCAGTCCTTTTCATCCCTTCCTCTCTCTAGATCTAGTAGTTCAAAGTTATAGGGTGTGTTCATCATGTTTATAGTAAAATATACCAGCTAGATTTACGGCTAAGGTCATGTTCTTCTCATCAGTAGTTGCACACCAGGCTGAGGCCGTCAGCGCACCCCATCTCGGCGAGGTGCCCGGGGCCCAGCCGTAGGGCCTCCGACAGCAGTGCCAGCACCCGCGCCGCGCCACCGTATTCTAGCATCACGTGCCTCACGGCGGCCGGCAGCTCCTCGGCACGCGGCGGCTCTAGCGCCGCCACGCAGAAGAGCGTGTCGCGCCAGTTAGCTGCCGGCGACTAGAACAGGTCGACGTTGGAGTTGAACCACAGCTTCCGACACGCGTCCCGCGTGTAGTAGGGAAGCTTCGCCTCCGGAGGCACCTCGTTGAACCACCTCACCGACACCAGCATCTCGGACAGGAGCTCCCCGGGGACGCCGTGGTTCACCAGGTGGAAGAACCCCACCGGCTTCACCTGTGCGACCACCTCCACCCACGCGGCTGCGTCCGCCGCCGCCACCGCTGAGAGGTCGATGACCGGGATAACACTAATAGTGCTGCCGCTGCTGCTAGAGGGCGATACCTGCGGCCCGTCCTAGTGGTGGTGGCAGAAGATGGCGGGGACGGTCGTGACGCCGGCGTCCACAAGGCCCTTGACGCCGGCCTTGGTGTCGTTGAACGCCTTCAGCTCACTCAGGCGGTCGTAGCTGTAGCCACCAGCGTCTTCTTCCGTGGTGGACATGGCTGCCGGCCGGCCGGGCCGGCGATTGAGGCGAGATGGATGGATTGAGATGAGATGTCTTATGTTCGTGGCGTGGTTGATTGGATACTTCATCAAATTCGTCAGCAAGTACGTACGCACGACATGACTTAAGAGTTAAGACAAACAAATCTAATAAAGCATTCCGTGCTCGCTGAGAAAATGCATGTGTGCTACGTGTACCCCTTCTTCTTCAATGCCCACAACTCTCTCTGGAACCCATAACCGATGCACACCGGTGTGCCCGGTGCCCCCGGTTTCTAAAACCCGCACTGCATGCTCTCTGGATGCCCTGTCTGATGAGGCAATCGGCGCTGCTGATGCAGCTGCCGTGGCCAGTTGCACTTTTTTCCGTTCGTGCCCGCGATTCACGCAGGGCAGGCGGTGGCGGCACGCCGCTGTCGGTGGGCCGACGTTCTGCGTCGCCGTCGTGGCCCGCGTCCAGCGCCTAGCTCCACGTCGTGGTCGCGCTCGAGCTCCACCTCGTCCTCGCGGCCTTGTGTCCTGCGGCCAGCCGGCCAAGCTTCATCTCGCCCTCACAGCCTGTGGCCCGTGGCCGAGCTATGCCTCGCCGCCCGGCCGCCGTCGTTTGTTCCACGCTCTGCGTCGTCGTCGCGGCCCGCAGTTAGCACCTGAGCTCCACGTCGTCGTGGCGCTCGAGCTCCACCTCCAGCATGTTCGGTTGGCTGGTTCGTATCGTGGTTGGTTCGTTTATGTGAGAGAGAAGTACTGCTGGCTAGTTCTGATGAACAGTGTTTTGTGAGGGGGCTGGCCAGTCCAGCCCCCAGCTAGCCAGCCCAGTGATCACGCTGCTCGTTGTTTCGGCCCGCGCCAACGCTCGTCCACGCCTGTCCAGCCCGCACCCGAGCTCTGCCTCCGCGTCGCACCCGCCCGGGCTCGCCACACGCTGAGGATTAAAAGATCCGAGCCTGCGCGCTGTCCTTCGTTGTAGGAGCTCGTTCGATTCGATTCCAATCCAATTGCTGTCTGATCTGGTTCGATTTGGGGTTCATCTTGTCTCTCCTAGGCCTTATTTAGATTACAAGTTTTTTCACTCTCTCCATCACATCAAATCTTTGAACACATGCATGGAGTATTAAATGTAGATAAAAAATAACTAATTACACAGTTTGATTATAAATTACGAGACGAATCTTTTGAGCCTAGTTAGACCATGATTGGACAATAATTATCAAATACAAACGAAAATGCTACAGTATCAAATACTAATTCCTAACCGCGAAGTAAACAAGGCCCTATTTTATTTTGGTCTCGGTTTGTTTATGGCTGTGATTTTGGCTTGACTTTGACAAGGTTTCAGAGTTTGACGGCGAGAGTACGGATGAATATATGCTGAACGTCTCCACCAGAAACGGCAATATATTAGCTAGATGAGGCCAGACAAAAAATCCAGACCAAAAAATATGTTGAAATTTTACTTCTTTAGTATTAGGTATAGATATAGATATAAATATAAATATAGGCCCTATTCGGTAGGACTTATTTCTGCTGCGGTTGATTTATATGACTGATTTGTTGTGAGAGAAAAACACTTTTCCATGACTGAAAAAGTAGGGTTGATTCTAGCTGATAAGCTCCAGCGAACATAGCCATAGAGGTATAGGCCCTGTTCGTTTGGACTGATTTGGCTTATAAGCCATGACTGAAAGTATTATTGGCTAGTTTGGTGTGAGAGAAAAACATTGTTCGTTGACTAATAAACTATGACTTATAAGTTAGATACGAGCGAGCGAACGTGCTGATAGATATAAGACATGCATGTATTTTAAAAATTCAAAGGGCTCAAATTAAAGCGCGTGGCACGACACTAATTAAAGTGTAAAGGCTGATTAGTTTCTTGTACGGTTTAACTGCACCTCGTCATTTCAGAAAAGGAGCGTCCCAAAGGGCACCGGTCATGTGCACCGGTTGCAGGTTGCAGAGATGTTGCAAAAAGGTTGGAGAAGGCCTAAAGGGCACCGGTCATCACTGGTGTAGCACCGATCATGTGCACTGGTTACACAATGACAACGGTCGGTTCTGACAGCGACAACGGCTAGTCAACGTGCCATGCACCGGTCATGTCCGGTAAAAAAAAAAAAGATGTGCAGCCAACGGCTAGTTTTAACTTGGGGCTATAAATACCTGACCCAACTGGCCATTTGAATATAGAGAGAGCCGAGGCAAGGTGCTAGGGTGTTGATACACCACATTGGAGCTCTGCATATGCATAGAGCTTAAAGAATCACTCGGTAATTAGTATAGGTGCTTTGCGAATTGCCGGAGTAAATACTTCCGACACTATGCTAAGGGTGCAGTGAAGTGTTTGTGTGTCTCTAGGTTTATTTGAGATGAATTGTTGAGCACTTGAGCATCATCTATAGTGAGAGTTGCAACCCTCTTTATAGTACAACTTTTCTAAACTCAAATTTAGCAAAAGTAAAAGTGTTCATTTCCCTGAGTTTGAAGCCTTTGATTTAAATAAAGATTGAGGGCTCTCATTTCCTTTCATGATTCCAACAAATCTCCATTTGTACTTAACCACTGCGATCTGCTCATAAATCTTGTTAGATCCTAAATTGTTTGTCATTAAAATGCCAAAACCCACTTAGGGGGCCAATTGCATTTTCAGTCTCCTCCTTTTTGTGATTTATGACAACAAATTTAGGCTTACATAAAAGATTGAAAAGAATTTAAACTTTTGAAACCCAACTTATATAAGAAGCAACCCCTTAATATGCATGTGCAATTTATTTGAATTCAATTTGAGACTTTGTAAAGTCAATTTTGCACTTATATTAATTCAAAGAGCTCCACCTATATCTTGGAATTCGTTGGGTGCCTAACAAGTGTGTGACCAAGCATATACAATACAAAGTGTGATGCAATATGATATATTATACCACAAACAAGAAAAGAAACTTTGGTCATGAATTCAAGAGCCAACTTTCCAAAACACATGACTAAAACAAACAACACTCGTCACACGAAAGTGTCATAGGCCACAACCACAAGCTAGATAGATAAATAAGCATTAAACTTGTCCTACAATCATTCATCACAACCAAGTGTTCCATGTCCATCACACACATACCACCACGAGATGAAGTTTACGATTGCAAGTTCACTAAGATAGATTAAACAAGTCCAAAAGATATATAAGTCATGACGAGATAAAAAGAATAAGCCTAACAAGGTTCTCCCCCTTTTGCAACAAGCACCAAAAAGAGAGAACTAGGCTCCACAGAAGGTCACTTGTTGTCGCCAAGTCATCATCACCATCACCATCGTCGTCATCACCGTCACCGTCATCGTCGCATCGTCTTTGAAGACATCCTAGCCTTCGACCACGGTGTCCTCATCATAATCATTGGGAGGGACTGCAACCTTGCCATCATGAGATTGTCGTGCCATAGCAGCAGCCAGGGTCTCATCATCATCGGGAGGAGTAGCACGAGGAGGAGAAGGATCAGCTGTAGGGTCAATCACCTCATTGAAATCCTCAAATAACTCACCAAAGTCTAGAGGAGGAGGAGGAGGCTATGAAGGCATGCACATATGCTCATGCATCTCATAAAAGCTCTTGACGGATCTGATGGTCCTCGTTGATAAGGTAGCAATGCCATGCGCTTTGAAAAAACCCGAGAGATAGCAGCCTTGAGAGCACTTGTGAGGATACAACAACCACCGGAGGAGCGAGAAGGAGACGGGCCTGGTGGGAGAGAAGCTGGTGCTGTGTGCGGAGAGCGAGGAGTAGCATGAGATGTACTAGCTGATGCTTCGGGAGTGCCTTGCTTCTTTGCTAATGTTAGAAATAATCCACGACACGTAGTGTCCATGGCATGTGCGTGTGTGTCGCGTCATGGTGGTGTGCATGTCTGGCTAGTTTTGGGTGACCAATCGAGTCATGTGTGCCTCTTGGATGGCATGCAATGGTCGTGTGTGCCTCTTAGATGTCTTGCAATGGTCGAGACCGAGTCTAGTTGGAGTAGTGTTGTGCATGGCACCAATTTGCATGGTAGAAGCCACATTGTCTAGATGAGCAAGTGGCTCACGGTGTTGCTGTGCGGGTCCTACGAATCATGGCACGAAGGCCGACATGGAAGCGAGCTCCATGGCCTATATATAGCCCCCCGTGCTCCTCTGTATTCAGTTGCCAAGTCCTGTGAACATGTAGCCAGAATACTGGCGAGTTTGTCGCCGCGGCGTTCATCGCTGGAAAATAGTGTATCTATTATGCTTCTTCTATCTCTCGCCAAGAGCGTTGGCATGTGTGTGTTTGAGCGGTTCCAGGGCTTAGCCAACAATTGATACAAGAGCTAGGTTGAAGATGTCGACCATGTCACTGGAGGAGCTCGTTGGCAGGAGCATTGTGGCGGAGTCGAGGCGGTCACGGATGGCGTCAAGCGTCTATTGCTCATGGAGGAGCAGTGGGAGGTGCATCGGCGTTGTCAATGCCACGGCGAGGAGCGCTCGAGCGAAGGTAGTGACAAGCATAGTGGCGGCAAGGAAGGCACCGACGTTGACGACGAGCGGATGCTCATGTAGGTTGGTCGTACGGGTGTGTCGTGGATTAGGGGGTGATTGTTAGAAATAATCCACGACATGTAGTGTCCATGGCATGTGCGTGTGTGTCGCGTCATGGTGGTGTGCATGTCTAGCTATTTTTGGGTGACCAATCGAGTTGTGTGTGCCTCTAGATGGCATGCAATGGCTGTGTGTGCCTCCTGGATAGCATGCAATGGCCGAGACCGAGTCTAGTTGGAGTAGTGGTGTGCATGGCGCCGATTTGCATGGTAGAAGCCGCGTTGTCCCGATAAGCAAGTGACTCATGGTGTTTGTGCATGGGACCTACGAATCATGGCACGAAGGTCAGCATGGAGGCGAGCTCCATGGCCTATATGTAGCCCCCGTGCTCCTCTGTATTCAGTTGCCAAGTCTAGTGAACATGTAGCCAAGATACAGGCGAGTTTGTCATTGTG